ATAGTATGGTCTGGAATAACACATAGGCTACTTTTTCCTACGGAACCGCAGGCAGAAGCTAGTATGTACATACTATATTAGATGTAAGGTGCCGTGGGAGCGTACGTCAGCTGAATTATTTCAAAACCATAACACATATAAATGGAAGTCTATTGCACGAAATAGAAGAGATGAGTGTAAGAGAGCCAGGCTTCGGCACGAATGGGCTGGCTCGACCGGAGTGATACCACGGCCCTACAGAAAATTCGTTGCGGGACTCAAGACTATATAGTTATTCATGTCCCTCGGACGCGTCAGACTTCAGTGTTCCGGTGTTGGCATGGTTGTATACTGTAGTGTCGTGGTGGCCCGGAGGTTGAAGACGCCTGCTTCTCATGTACGAGGGTGCAGGTTCGAAACTTACCAACGGCAAGTACCTATGTGACTTTTTCCGAGTTATATGTACTTTCTAAGATTATTTAGACACCACTGATCAACGGTGAAGGAAAACATCGTGAGGAAACCTGGGCTTATAATTTCTAATTATAAGTTTGAAATAGCCAACCCGCATTGAGCAAGCGTGGTGATTAATGCTCTAACCTTCTCCATGTGAGAAGAGGCTTTGCTCAGCAGTGGACATTTATAAGCTGTTGATAAATGATGATGATGAACTACTGTAGATCCTAGCTTAGAGAAGTTGCAGCGGTTTTGGGAGGTTGTGGAGGGCTTGCCCCATTAAAAAAGCCCTTCAGGCCCATAGCAATAAGAATGAAACAGAAATCTGGTCATTGCGTAGCGCCGCCATGTCACATTAAAATGATAAGAACCTACCAATGTGTGTAACATATAAAAAATTATAAAATAATTAAGTAACAATAATTGCACATAGCATTTGTGTTATGATAACAGTATGTTTATAAGGACAAAATAATTATGGATAGACAAACATTATTGAATATCGATTTTATTTGTGTAGACGTTCAAAATGCGTGCCACTTTGATTGTTTTTGCATTATCTGCAGCTGTTCTGGTTAGTATAAACACCTTTATTACTTTTTTCTATTGTTTAAAGTTATAGATACTCAATGAATGTAGCTCATTCTGGCTTTTTTAAGGTGAATAAGCTTTTTTAAAACATAAAATCTTTAAAGGAATACGCAAACACGGAATTTTTTACGTGCCAAGTGTATTTTTATATTTATCGCCCAGTTTTAACCATTTATATTTAACATAAATGTTTAATGTCTCATGTCAAAGGGGGGGGATGCCAATACGGAGTCGTGGAGAACCTAACGGGTTACCGGGGCTCCGGTGCAGGAGTAGGTGCGAAGTGCAGGAGTAGGAACGAGGTGGTTTTTAGTCAGTAAAAGTCTGACACTACCTCCCGCCTCACTCAGGCGGGAGCAGTCACTCGATGATTCTCCGCCATTAAAAAAAAAATGCGACTGCTGGGCAAGGGGTCTTGGATTCGATTCCTGGGTCGGGCAAAGTATTACTGGGTTTAAAAAAAAATCTCAGTAGTAGCACGGAGTCTGGAATTGTGCCCGGTATATGGTAATAGACTCACCCCCTATAACATGGGACTCATGACATAAATAGTGGAAAGTGGGTGTTACATTGAACAGAGGCATAATGTGCACCTCAACCCCTTTGGGGATAAAAGACGTGATGTTATGACGTTATATAAACTTTAAATACTCTTTTCGTGACTTGGACAACTTTCATTTCAGATCGGCCAAAGCGAAGCAATGATACCAGCGTACTCAGTCACCGCTCTTCGACTAGCCTTCGACGAAATATCAACAGTTCTACCCATCGCAAACCAACTGGCATGTCTTCTAATACCATTCCTAATCAACTTGATAAACAATCTAAACAATCTGTCAAATATAGTCCAAAATCTGACACCTGCGTTGTTGCCATACTTCGGATGCACTTTACCCCTGTTGTATGCGACGTTGACAGATTTAGCATCCGTCCTTTTCTTGTACATCAGTGTATTGATATCGCTGTTTCGCTCTAACGTTTTAGCTGCTCCGGGACTTTTGTTAGGCTTAGTTTCACAAGTACTCAATTTAGTGTTGAACCTGCTCAGCGGGTTGACTGATGGGAGTGGGTTGTTGAGTTCCCTTATAAAATTGATTACAAGTATCGTTGTTGAGTTGGAGAAGTTGTTGATCTAATTGTATTTGTTTGTTGTTTTATTGTATTAAATAAATGTTTGTTTGATAATCATTACCTTGTTTTCTTTTGACACTTTTGAGATCACAGTCATAAGTGACTAGCGTTAGCAGCATATTTAACTTCAATGGTTGTTTTTCCATAGTCAGAGGTCAAGATTGTTCGGGGACAACAATGAATGTTTTGTATGGAATAGGATGGCTATACCTAATTTTATATTTCTGTGGTCGTAATATAACAGACGGGCTGGCTGATGGTATGCAAATGGCGCCGCCCATCAACATCGGGAACATCAGGGGAGTAGGTACCTAACAAGTGCGCTGCTGGCCATTTGAATTGGAGATTTAACTCGTCGAGTACCGGTTTTATAGACACAATTAAAGAACAATAGGTTGCGGTCACCGGTGACCGCTTGGTGTTTGACAGTTTAAAGATTGGAAATTTTGGTATTGGAGATTTGGAGACTGGACATTTGAAGATAAGAGATTTTTGACGTGACAACGTCTTATAAATTGGTTTGCCGGGTGACACTTCAAGAAACTGCGTTACGCTCCGCTCACGTTATGCGCTCACAATGAGAGCGAGTGAGAGGCACGCGTCCCTTCCACTCGGGCATGGTTAGCCCGCCTAAGAGCGAGAGAGACAGACATAAAAAGTGAAAGGCACGCGTCCCTTCTACTCGAGCACAGTTAGCCCGCCTAAGAGCGAGAGAGACAGAGCGAGAGACAGAGAGTGAGTGAGTGATTCTTTGTATAAATTAATGTTTTAAATATAATTCTTTGTATAAATAAATGTTTAAATTGTTACTATTATTTCATCCTTCTTCCTACTATACGAATGAATATTCACATTAAAATTATTTTACCACTCAAAGTCGTTGTCACGTAAAACCATAGAGCAACACGGGCCACCGGCGGACCGGAGCGTAAAACTTTCGCCCGTATACCGACTTTACAGGCAACCAATTTTTTTTTATTATTATGTATCTATCATCTAGATATATTATTATCTATTATAATTATAGATATTCAGCAATATTTTTGTTAAATGCAGCAGACTTGTACGCGGGCTGTCCAGTGACTGCCCCGTAATAAGAGATTTGAGGATTTTATCATTGGAATTGGAGATTTTTTATAAGGGGAAAAATCATTGAATCTATGTTTCACATACGGAGCCGCGGAAGACTTAACAGGTTGCCAGGGCTCCGGCTTGAAGTGCAGGGGTAGGATCGGGGTGGTTTTGGCTCTACGAAATCAGCCCACCAACAAGATGAGAGAGCCGACCTGACCCAGCAGAAGGCACGCGTTCACGAGTATGACGTGTGTGTCAGCAATTGGTCCGGTCAACCTTTTGATTGGGAACGGAACAACCCAACACACAGCGCCACCGACTGTAGGACATTTATGTGTGCATGACGCCTCAACCCTTGCTACGTTGGCTGATTCCAATAGACCCTACAATTAAAAAAAACATTAAGTATAAACTATGCCATCAATGCCACATCTAGTAAAAATAGTTCATGCATCAAGTAATTGATTAATTTATTGGTTTACCCACATTTACTTCATATTTTTGTTATAATTTATTGGTCTTTTTTTTTTTTTTTTTTTTTTAAGGGGGGAAAATCATCGAATGACTGCTCCCGCCTGGGTGAGGCGGAAGGGAGTGTCAGACTCTTACTGACTAAAAACCACCCCGTTCCTTCTCCTGCACGTGGAGCCGGAGCCCCGGTTACCCGTTAGGTTCTCCGCGACTCCGAATCGGCATCGGCCCTATTGGGCCCCATCTGTGGTGGTCTGATGGCTCTTTGAGGCGCGCGCGGAACGCGACGCGCCGTACGCTCGGGTCTGTTTCTGGTCGGACGGGGAGCCACCCATGCTCGCCGTCCGCAGGCCCGCGCTTACGGTGGCCGGAGATCGTCTCGCGATCCCCGACGCCCGGTGTGTCCTTCGCGATGGCTGGGTTGCGAGGAGGCAGCGCTTCGCTGCCTCACGCGTCCCGCCTCCTCCTTAGCTAGCATGACTGCTTCGCAAAAGGAGGAGACGGCATCCCAATCCCCCTCGCTCCGCATCATGGCCTGCACTAGGCCCGGACGCGAGAGGTCGCCATCGCCGATCACTTCCCTGAGGGCACGGCGGTGCTCAGCCCACGCAGGGCATTCTCCCACTGTGTGTTCCACCGTGTCCTCAGGGCGAATTTACTGGTCTACCCGTGTTACTTGATTCTGTTCTTTGAGTATGTTTATTTATCACTTTACTCACATTTTTAAACAGTGAAAATTTGTATTTGTCCTTTTGTATTGTTTTTGTTTATATGTACGTACTACTGTGCGCTCTAAATTGTTTACTTTTATATGAAATATTGTTTTTCAGTAAGTGAATTATGTATGTGATTCTTTATAACAAATAAAGATATTCTAAGCCTAAACCTAAAAAGCCGTTGCTTCACCAGGTTAAACTTGCATCATAGTGTATCTATCTGGTCATATAAAAACACCAGTCAAAGATATTTACGTTTTATTATGACATATTACGTAAATAATATCGAGTAACAGAATAGATAAGGTCGTGCCTAATCGATTAATCATATCGATGCGGATCTCGGTATCGATAACAATCAATTCGAAATGTTTTAAAAACGCTTTTAGTTTTGGTAAATCACGTATTTGTTGGTCAGAGTTTCATAGTATCTATATCACAGTGTTTTTTTTATTTTTTTTTAAATTGTCTTTTAATTTTTTTTTGTCAGATGTGTTAATCATAGACTTGTATGACTTTTAAATTGTTGTTATAACATTTTTAACTTGTGTCTTTGTGAATAATGCATGTTAGAAAGGGACAATGGTTTTAAGTATAGTGTTGTCCTTATCATTCGTCGTGTTGGTATGTATTTATTTTAATTTAATTTTTCAGAGTCTATTATTTTTCTTTTATTTTTTTAATGTGTATTGATCTAGGTATCTTTGGTTCGGTTCTCGGTTGTGATAATTACCTGTTAATTCCTTTTAATGCTCCACACGAGGATTTTCCGTGTTCTGGGTAGTTATGTTTACAAACATGCAAGTTGACACATGACACACAGACCCGGACCAACAATTTGTGGAACACACAAAGAGTTGCTCCGTGCATGAATCGAACCCGCTACACGTTACGCGGCAGTCGGTTACCCAACCGACTGGTTCATTTTAAACTTTAAGTATTTAGGTATTTATATATAACCGAGAATTTCCAAGGAGTTTAGAATGATCGACCCAGTATTCGTTCCTAAAACCCCTTGCTTCGCAATCTCACAGTTAGAGCTATAAGCCAGTTATTCAAAGAAAAGTGTATTGTATCGAAAAAAAAAAATCGTGTGAAGCGTTATCGCCATCTAGTTCAATTTTCAAACACTTGAACTATTTTTTTATATTACTATAACGTGCAATGGAAAATAGGCACTAAGGTATCCAGCCAATTTTGCTGGCTACTATAGCTAATTCATACAATATTTACACATGTTTTTTTATGGTATAAACCGATAAACTATCAGACGGATCACCTGATGGTAAGCAATCGGCGTTCCCCATGGACACTCGAAACACCAGAGTCGTTACTAGTGCGTTACCGGCCTTTTGGTGATTAGGGATTTGACGATTGTGTGGGATTCAAGGTTTGGGGAAGGGTAATTTGGCCTTCGGTAACCTCACTCATACGACGAAATACAATGCAAGCTTTGTTTCACGTCGGTTTTCTACTCGGCCGTGGTATCACTCCGGTCGAGCCGGTCCATTCGTGCCGAAGCGTAGTTCTCCCATACTTTACTACTTACCCTTTATAGCTACAATACAAAGCACATACTTCTAACAATATTTCTAAAAGTAATTCTTATTCTATACATTTTCGCAATACAAATATGATAATATAATAATCAATCATGTTTTTTTTTTCTAGGTATCATCCAACAACGGCTTCCAACCGCACGAGGTATCAAACTACCAAAATATATACACAACCCTCCCAGCCAACATACCAGCCGAAAACAACCCCTATCTTCAAATAAATACAGCCCAAAACCCGATAACGCAAGATAACTTACAACCTTTCAACATTAGACAGATTTTATTGAACAGAATCCTATCAAGCCCACCCTTGCAGACGATTTTCGAACATAACTCAAAAGGATATGGTACAAATTCCATTGATTGTAACAATAATCCGATTGAAACATTACTGAGAAATAATTACGAAGCTTCGACTACAGATTATGGACGTTTGAATAATGATGTTAATACTAATACTAATAGGAATAAAGATAATGAATCTAATATAGAAACTGAAGGAAAGCGTAGAAAACATAAAAGGAGAAAAAATTCTAAATCTAAAAGGAAACCAGAAGAGAATATAAATAATCATAATCATAATGACACAGAAGATAATAACAAAGAAACCAGCAAAAGGTCAAAAAAGCGCTCTAAAAGACCTAAACAAGATTCTCCTAAAGAAAACCAAGCTGATAACAATGAGAATTTAGAGAAAAAGAACACCAATAGACCTAAAAAACGGAAAAACAAAGATAATGAAACAAATACTGAAGACGTTACTACTGAAAACCCTAAGCCGAGAAGAAGGCATAAGAAGAAACCTAAATCAGACGCAAATGCTACAGACACAGCTAATTTGGAACAACAGTTACCAGAATTAAGATTAATCAACGATGATCTAAACTTAGCCAGTCTCTGCGAGGGTATTACTGAAGAATGCAGGCTACCAAGGAACTTGAAACAAGAAAATATCGATATACAGAAGCCTGTGACAAATGCAGTTGACAATTTCCCAAATTCTTTTAGTTTCAAAACTTTCCAACATTTATACAACAACCCATCTATGACCAATTTCTTAGCAAATTATGAGAATATTTATAAAAACATGCTAAACGCTAATAATCCTACAAATGAGCCCCGAAATGTGAGTAAGAAAAAACCGAAAAACACAAGAAAAACTCAAAGAAAAACCACTGTTAACAATAAAAATTCAACTGTAACTGCTAATGATAAAATAACTCCACCAAGTCCCGTTAACTCTAATATAAACGAAACTTCGGAAAAACCGCCACAAGTGACCGATATAGCTCAAGCAAATAACAACTCAACCACTGAACCCGAAAGCTTAAATTTAATTGATACACCAATGGATGATAAAGAGAAAATACCAGACAAAGATTTTATAGATACAGAAACTAAAGATTCAGAAGAACCATTTCTTAATTACTATGACGGTTACATAGACGATTATTACCCACTTTTTACTGATAATGCAGCTTATACAGCTAATAACAGAGAAGTTTACGTCCAACATTTGGGTGACACTAAATACTATTACACTATAGATAAGAACAATCCAGAAGGATTTGGATTACCTGGACATGTCACAAAAGAATATAATCATAACAAAAAATACGATGAAATAGAAAATATACGCCCTAAAGAAGATATAGTACAATTCCGTACTCCTCCACTGCTAGAAGCACCAGATTTTGAAACAAGAAAAGTAGAAATAGCTGAAGTAAACCCTGAAGCTTATTATAATAGAGATGATAATCCAAAAACTTCCACATATTCTCCGGTGAAGCACACAGAAGTAAAGAAGAATGGTTTAAATACAGCAGAAGATAAAAATATTGAAACTTTGTTCGCTAAATCTAAAGTTGCTAAATACGGGACTGCTTATAAACCAGAAGAAAATGAGCAATCTTCTGAAGAGGCGATTGAGGTGAAAGAAGAATTAAACGAAGACAGTTTTAAAGATGGCGGAACGACTTATGTTATAGCTAAAAGTTTGGGTTATAGGTACTGAGCCATTTTGGTAAAGTAATGACGAAACACAGCGCTCATATAGGATTCAATGGTAGCCCGATTTTTTTCTCAACACAAGACGTAAATCTAGGAAGAACCTTTGCTGTCTAATCACATCAGCTGTCAATTATTACCCTAGCTAATTTCTTATTGGACTAAGAACGAGGGGTGCACACTAACGCAATTTGGTGAGCAGGCCCCATTAAGATACCTCCTCCTATTTTTAAGTCGTTTTAAGAAATTAACACATTCACTGCGGCAGCGTTAAATCTAAACTTTTATAGTGCGATACGAGACAAATGCTGCCCGTATCTGTTTCCTGATATGCGAGGACAACGGCCTACCGCACTGGCTGAGAATCAAATACGGCCAAATACTTGCCGTAACGCAGTGAATGTGTTAAATTGGTTATAGCACTGTTTTTGACACAACAGTTTTTTCATGAAGAACTATTCATGTTGAACATGTCGATACTCTTTATAGCAAGTTGTTTTGCCACAGGACGAAAACGAAATAGATTTCACGATGTATAATATAAATGAAAAAAAAAACGTAGTGTATTGTAGTACCTACGTAGGTACTTGATTACAAATTCTGTCTACCATGTCGAGTAATACGAAGTGTGATATATCAATTATATGAAATAAGGATGTGATGTTTTATTTAAGTTATTTATTTTATTAACATTAAAAGTTTATAATTTATACAAGTCATTTTATTTATATTTTCCTTAAAAAGCAACCAAACAAACTGCTAATCTAGTGGGTAAGTAACTACTGTTTTGAGCCGTTTGGGGTCGAAACACTTGGGCCATGGGGTCTCAGTGCACACACTGTCTTTAAAGATATCGTCTAAGGCAATAGGCTCACCTCCACACATGACACTCATTACATAAATAGTGAAAAGTGGGTATTACATTGTATAGTGGCAGAGCCGTAATGTGTCTACCCCTTTGGGAAATAAAAGGTAGATAATATTAGGTGATATAATATTATGTTTAGTAATGTAATCAATCTCTTTGCCAAAGTTATTCTTACTGATAGTTTATGATAAATATTAGACATACGTGCGTAAGAAACGAACGTGAACGGTGCTCCCAAAGTCCATACTTTTTTTGAGTGAGTGAGCTGAAAAAATCTTCCTATGTCTTCTCAAGAAGTCACTGACGGAAGTCTTGTTAGATGGTGTTTAGTCTGTCAGAGTCTAACACTCCCCCTCGCCTAACCCAAGGCGGGAGAAGTCGTTGGATGATTTTACCTCTTCAAAAAATAACCGTTCACCAATACAACTCAATCCCGTATATCCCAACACTGTATTGAATGTTCCAACTTGGTACAAAGTTATAAGTTATAATCTGTTTTATTCCCTCCGGCCTGTTATCACAAGTATACAGTTTATTAAACTATAGTTTATTGTTTATTTATATTATATAATACTAGCTTTTACCCGCGGCTTCGCTCGCGTCATAAAAGAACAAAAAGTAGCCTATGTGACATATAACAATACACACAGCGCCATCTATACCAATACACACAGCGCCATCTATACCAATACTTTTGTTTTTCCTCGGGAATATCAATTTTTTCCAGGTTAAAAAGTACCCTATTATTTAATCCGGACTTCTAACTTTACGGCTGCAAAAATTCAAAGCAATCGGTGGAGTAGTTACGGCGTGAAGGTGGAACAAACAAACAAACTCACTTTCAGATTTATAATATTAGTAAGGATAAGGATTCGAAGACGCCTGGACCGATTTCAAAAATTCTTTTTGTTGTAAGGGTAGGTTTGTCGTTTGGTCCCATTGTCATAAAGTCAGGATCTGATGATGGAATCCCAGGGAAACCGAGGGGTTCTCCTTTTAAAAATTATAGGGGCGACTAGTGCATTTGTTATGTTTTTCGTTAAGTATTTAAAACCACTACAATCTGATAAAGGTCTGGAGGTGATCTGATGATGGAGTCGAAAGGCAGTCGAGGGAACTCCTCAACGGTTAACAGTAGCTACATTGTGTTTGGGTTTGATTAATTTGTATTGATGAGGACTTTATACCTAGGTGGTATTCACATACCACCTCACTATCTATGACTTCTCACCTATCAGTGGGTGTGTAAGCTATAAGTACGTATGTCCAATAACAGTTATTTTTTGCTTTTTAGTTTTTACTTTTCATTTGTGGTAAGTGTAAGTAGTAGTATGTCGGGATGGGCCGGAGGTTTAAGACGCCCGCTTCTCATGCCGGGCGCGGACTCGAAACCTATTTCCGAGTTAGTTATATGTACTTTCTAAGATTATTCAGACACCACTGACAAACGGTGAAGGAAAATATCGTGAGGAAACCTGGGCTTATAATGTCAAATTACAAGTTTGAAATCGCCAACCCGCGTTGAGCTAGCGTGGTGATTAATGCTCAAATCTTGTCTGTGTGAGAAGAGGCCTTTGGTCAGCCGTGGGGCATTTATAGGCTGTTGTGATGATGATGATGATAATTTTCAGTGAGAAAAAGTAAAATACATATGTCCTAACCCCTTCTCTTTACTCGGGTGTCGGCTGTAAAATGAATGAATCGATTCTCTTCCTAATAAAGCAGTAAAAAAAATCGATATAAAATGCCAGAAACTCCCTTCGTCTAATGTTAAAACGTGTTTTTGAGGGGGGAAAATCATCCAATGATCCGCCCGGGCGGGAGGGAGTGTCAAACTCTTACTGACTTAAAACCACCCCATTCTTTCTCCTGCACTTCCAGCCGGAGCCCCGGCAACCCGTTAAGTCTTCCGTGGCTACGTATCGGCATCAGCCCTGTTAGGGGGGCCTAACAGATAGGGATCTATGGTGGTCTGATGGCTCCTTGAGGCGTACGTACGCTCGGGCCTGGTTCTGGTCGGGCGGCGAGTCACCCGTGCTCGCCGTCCGCAGGCCCGTGTATGATCTTAATCTAAAGGTTTTGTACTGAAGACAAATTTCTGAATATCTTGTCATCAATTCTGAAAATCAGTGTTGGGTGCTCATTGCGTCCAGCTTTTAGCGGAGATGGCGACCCGTTCGAATGGGGATGATGACAGGGTATGAAAATTAAAAATATAATTAGTCCGTAAGTTAGGTAATGAAAAAATATTAGACACGTATTTTTTTATTTTGTCGTATAATAAAACAATACTTAGATAAAACGAATCAAAGTTTAGGAGTGGGGGCTAAAACGTCATTTCTTAGTATAAAATGTACTGAGAAGTGACGTCACGCGACATTTCAAATCAATATATCTTCGAAACTATTCGTTTCTGTGAGAAAATAAAAAATACGTGTCTAATGTTTTTAAATAATCTATCAGACGGACATTAAAATAAAAATTAGTCGTCTACCCTAATGTCCGACACCGCGTAGTAGGTACCCGTTATTATTAGCTTGTTTTAGTTTTCATAATGTAGCTTACCTATTATCTTTTTAATTTTTTTTCTTTGTCTCTCTCTGTGTTTTTAAACCTTTTTATTCTTATTTGCATTTATTTTTTTTGTTCCTGCCATGCATGTTTTATGCCGAATATAAACATATTTCATTTCATTTCACATAAAATGGAATTTCTGGCAAAGTCAAAGCATTTTTCTTTATCAAAGGCAAAGACTGCCTCGTTGGCCAGTGCGACTGCCGGGCAAGGGGTCTCGGGTTCGATACCCATTCTAAAATTTATACGAAGCAAACCCACTCCAAACCGATTTTAGCATCTTTCAATGGCGGGGAAATCCATAGACGCAGACATCCAGTGTATCTTGATCTATCATGGCGGCGCCACATGCAGCGTTATGAAAGAAAGGGCGTCATTATGAATGCATTGCATTTAATTTAGAATAGAATAGAATATAACTTTATTGTACACCATTAATAATACAGTACATACAGAAAAGGAAATGACAAATATAAATAAAAATAATAATGGGCACAAAGCATTTAGTACTTCATTCCCCCACGTGTCTAGTTATATTGGACTTTGTGCACCCCTTTTGTGAGCTTAGTCATCGTGGTTTTGACCCTCAAATCAAAGAGAGGGTCGTTTTGTACCTAACTTCGATCTGTCTGGCTCCGGGTAGCATGAATTTGAATAAACTGGTTTTATTTCTTTGTTACTGAAAACGTTTTTTTTTTAATTGAAAGCCGTTATTATTGTTAGTTAATATTTTGAGATACCTTATTAAGACCGAAAATTTGAATTAAGACTATTTTGAGGCATTATTGCTAATTTATATAAATAATAATGACTGCCTCGTTGGCCGAGTGGTCGCAAGTGCGACTTCCGGGCAAGGGGTCTCGGGTTCGATTCCCAGGTCGGGCTAAGTATTACTGAGGTTTTAAAAATTCTCAGTACCTAGTAGCGAATCCGTTGGGCCCGTGGACGAATCCGGGGTGGTCTGATGGAGTTTCTAGGTTTCTGGTCGGACGGGGAGCCACCCATGCTCGCTGTCCGCAGGCCCGCGATCTCCAACCTGCCTGCCAGAAATAGAAATGATGGTAGACTGCTTCTATGTATGTAGAGGAGGTTCAGGGCTAGCAGAGGATTCATGTTAGTTAGTCACATCACGTCTTTTTACCTCCAAAGGGGTAGGTAGAAGTGCACATTACGGCACTTAATGCCACTGTACAATGTAACACCCACTTTTCACTATTTATGTTATGAGTCCCATGTAATAGGGGGTGAGCCTATTGCCATATACCGGGCACAATTCCAGACTCTACAATAACGACGCTACAACAATTTTTTTTTAAATCCCAGTAATATTTTGCTCGACCCGGGAAGCCGAAACCTCTTGCTCGGCAGTCGCACTTGCGACCATTCGGCCACCGTGGCAGGCAAATTACAAGCTCTTTAAGAAAAATAATAAAACACAACACAATTTCAATCAAAACATATAATATTTATTTAATACAATACATATTTATTAACACCAACACGAAATAAATTAATTAATCAATAAACCCACGGCGCGCAACCGCAAGAATTAATTGGAGAAATTACAGAATTAATCGGGGCTAACATTGGATTGACCGGGGCTAACATTGGATTATACTGGGCCAACATTCCATAATCACCCAAACCCAAACCTGGGATAATCACGTCTGGGGATGCAGATGGCAGAGTATTGGATAGTAAATTGCTTACAACAAGGAGCTGTAAAGCATTAGCCAGGTTATTAGCTACTGAACTATCCTGGATAATAGTTGTAGCTGGAATAGACACTTGGTTGGGTACGATAGCCTCCACTCCATAAGGTAAGTCGACCATTTGTGGATAATTCTGTCCAATTATGACCTGGTTTTGGAGTAGTGTGTCTGGAACTTGAACTGGCATTGGAAGTATGTTCTGTCCACATCCAGGTACAATGCGGTTCAGGCATTGCGCGGAGATGGCCTGGAAAATAAGGGCAAATCATTGTTAACAAATTTTTAAAATTTTTCGTTGAATAGTGATTTTTTTTTTATGAAAACGTTGCCCCCCTTGGGTTTTCTCCTGTGTCGTGAGTGCGTTTACAAACATACAAGTTCACATACACATGACACCCAGACCAGAAACAACAATTTGTGGATCACACAATGAGTTGCTCCGTGCAGGACACGTTGCGCGGCAGCCGGTTGCCCAGCGACCGCACTAACCGTGTTGTCGTTGTTCAATTGAACTTAAAAATTCGGTTACTTGAAAATTTAAAAAAGGTGGAATTGAGATGTTTAAAATTAAAGGCTCTGAGTGGCCTTTATTTGGTCATAAATAGCTTGCAATTTTACTCCAAGCTAAATAACTGGCGAACATGTGAAATGTAACCACTAGTATCATATTTCATAATACATATGTTCTCTCTTAATTAAGTAAAATCGCGGGTTACTCACGTGAATATACTGAGAAAAGCTCTACTAGTTTCGAACCACAGAGGGGTTCTTCCTCATGAGCAGCGTGCGCTTCACGTGAGTAACCCGCGTTTTTACTTAATTTAGTATGTCTCACGATAGTTATTATAAAAACATGTTCTCTCTTGTAAAATAAAGGGGTCACGGAATTCGATGAGAATCTTAGTTTTGTAATGTAACTTTCGTGAGACATACTAAATAAATTATTATATTTTAGGCTTACTCACGTAATTATTTGACGAGGCAATAATTTCAGTCGCAGCGCGACAGTCGCCGCGTCGCGGGTCGCGAAATGCTGCTCATGAATATGAGCCTCTAGCATGGCTTAAAACTAGTCGAGTTCCTCGTCAAATTATTACGTGAGTAAGCCGAAAACATTATGCTTAATTTATTTAATTTTGTAATATTAAAACAATATTATTACTTACATTGAACAAAGCCAACTGAAGGCAAACCAAAGCTATGATTTTTCCAGTCATTTTTGATGTTTACAATAACTTCTAGTAATGAATACTATATTATTTTCTCAAAAAACATACTTTATATACTTAATTATTATCTAAAGTTAGTAATAACTTATCAAGTTATTGATATAGATGGTATTTCGTAAGTAATATTGGATAATCAATAAGTATTTCAAGTTGGTGATAACGGCCGTGTAGAATACTTTCTGTCACCACTTTTTGCGGTGTTGTAAGAGCCGACTATGAGACTACACAATTTGATAAAGACTAGGTAGTAGTGCCTTTTAATAAAACCTGAATCCTGATGCAATTAGTGGCACATCAAGGAGACTCTGCTTAGTTGGCACCGGAGACTTATTAAATCTAGACAGCAACCGGAACGATCTCCAGCCACCGTAATGGGCCTGCGGAGGTGACAATGGGTAGCTCGCAGCCCGACCTCGCCTGAGGTAGCGCGCGCCTCAAAGAGCAAATCAGACCACCACGGATGGGACCTAATAGTGCTGATGCCGATACGGAGCAGCGGAGAACGTAAAAGGTTACCGGGGCTCCGGTTCGAGGTGCAGGAGAAGGAACGAGGTGGTTTTTAGTCGGTAAGAGTCTAACACTGCCTCCCGCCTTCTCATCAAATCATCGACTAACTTCTCCCGCCTAGGATTTTCCTCCCTTATTAAAATACAGCACCCTAAAGAAGTACTTAATAGGCGCCCCTAATTGGCATCGCCGTCACTGTATGAGATAGGGATGTAACGGAAGTAGTTTTATCGGAACCGAAGGCGGAATCGGAGTTTTTAAATTTGCTTTATCAGAATCGGAATCGGAATCGGAGGCAAGGTCAGAAGTGGTGATATGAGAAAGAATTATTATTTAAACTGTCAAACACCGCGAGGACACCGGTGACCGCAACTTATTGTTCTCTAATTGTGTCTATAATGACGGTATTCAAAGAGTTAAACTATCAAACTCGCGAGGACACTGGTGACCGCAACTTATTGTTCTTTAATTGTGTCTATAATGACGGTACTCAAAGAGTTAAACTGTCCAGCACCGCGAGGACACAGATGACCGCAACCTTAATGACGGTACTCAAAGGGTTAAGGACAAACTCATCATTATGCAGTATTTTTTATGCTTCGACCTCCGATTAAAAAGTGTCGGAACCGAAAGTATAATAATAATAATCGGAAGTTCCGACTTAACTGAACCGGAATCGAAGCTCCGTGACATCCCTAGTATGAGAAGTTGGACACGAGTGTCTCGCGACACCCCTCTGCAACTTAGCGCCGTAGGTAATTAGAAATACCTTAGGGATGAAACGGCTCTGGTTGGTGTATCGGTTGGACATTTGACTGCTGTGTCACGGCACTAGTTAGATTAGCGCACAAATCGTGTTAGATTTCGGGTCTGGGGGTGATGTGTACGTACTACGTATTTGTAAATCTCTTTTTTATATTTGACTAGCTTTTACCCGCGGCTTCGCTCGCGTCACAAAAGGATAAAAAGTAGCCTGTGTGCATATACCAATACACACAGCGCCATCTATACCAAACATTTCGTTTTCCCTAGAGAGTATCAATTTTTTTTAGGATAAAAAGTACCCTATTATTTAAGCCAGACTTCTAACTTTACGTCTGCAAAAATTCAAAGCAATCGGTTTAGTAGTTACGGCGTGAAAGCGGAACAAACAAACTCACATTCCGATTTATAATATTAGTAAGGATGGGCCGATATATGACTACTATCTCGCTGGTGGTAAGCGATGATGCGGTCTACGATCGCCCCATAAGCAACCTATTCACTCAGGTCTTGAAGACACCCAGGTTATAACCTCAGGAAACACACTCTCTGGCAAATTCCACTGCTTAGTCGTGCGTGTGGGTGGGACATCTGCCACGAATCGGTAATCACACCAAAAGGATAAATGATTTACCTATGTAGAACGTTTAAAAAAATAAATGCGAAACAATCTATTAAATCCTTGGTCTATAAATTATACATGTTAGTTTGGGCTACAAAAATGCGAAACGTCAGATTCCAGTTTACAGTTTTGGTGGAATTAGTACTTTAGTGACATCTATGGGTAATGCTCATGTAATTCTAATGATGATTAGACAAGTACGACCTTCGAAATAGAAACATGATTATATTACGAACGCCATCTATTATAGGAATCTAGCATCTATGGAAGTGAACCTTTTTTGAGAGGTAAGTATTTTAATCAGGAAAAATTGAAGTATACGTACTTACATTAATATTTATGCCACAATGTTGGTTGAGTGGCCGCAAGCGAGACTACCAAAGTAGAGGATTTTTGGGTTGAGCACATTTTACGGTTCTCAGAAATTATTAATAGGGATCTAGTGTCATTGGTATAACGCCACTTATTGCCAGATATATGTAGCGAGTTCTACAAATATCATGCCTATTATAGAATATGGTTATTATTGCTGTAGTATTTTTTTTTAAGTGGGGAAAATCATCGAATGATTGCTCCCGCCTGGGTGAGGCGGAAGGGAGTGTCAGACTCTTACTGACTAAAAACCACCCCGTTCCTTCTCCTGCACGTCGAGCCGGAGCCCTGGTTACCCATTGCTGTAGTATAGCATGTTATAGACTGTTCTATAACAGGCTATGTGCTATATGTTATTTTAAATTAATGATCTGTATCAAAGGCAGAATTTTAACAATAGGCTATTAACCCTATTAACCCTTTTGAGTACAGAATTTTATAGAAAAAAAGAAACCACAACCACTAATAACAAAGCACTTTATTTTATACATATAAACCTTTTTAAAAATGATACTGGAACGTTTTGATTTTCGACCAGCCGTTACCGTTGCCAGGACTAAAGAATGACGTCAAGCTAGGAGAGAAGTTCCACGTCAATGGTCTGAAGAACCATGGCCCAGGACTAGGCAACGCTGGGTGTATAAATGGTGCTGGAACATAAAGATACTTATGTCGGAATACTCAAACGCTACTAAATTTTAAGTCGCGCTTAAGTATAGTTCTGTCTCCACAAATTCTTTGTAAAATGACAGAGATTGCACGATATTTAAGCACGACTTAAAATTGAGTAACGTTTCAGTATTCCGGCATTAATAATATAAAGATACTTAATAAATATAAACTAACTAGTCACCCTTTTAGGGTTATTCTTCCATCAACAGATAATTCTTACTTGTAGAATAAAATTGATACTTGACAGTTTTATGTATGGAAGAATTGACAAATATTCATAGTTATTCTCTCGATAAGATGTAGCTAACGTTGGAAAAATCGGCCCTTAGTAGGTTCTCTTTCGATTGTTATTCAAGAATCATTTTATCAAAATTCGTTTAATACGTTTTCAGGCTCAGAATAAATGTTATGAAGTAAATGAAAACAGTCAAGGATAATTGTTCATGGCATTAGGGAATTTTACTGTATATCCACATGTAATGAATACCGATATCCGCGAGCATCTTAAATAGTACAAGTAAAGTTTACGTCTTTCATGGGATTTTCTGATGTGATGTGATGTGGATGCACCATAAAACACGATAATTGTTTGCGACAGTGGTTTTTAAAAATAAGAAAAACAGTATTACGTATCTACTAATATACACCTCTGGTGTTGTAGGTTTATGTAGTGTCTGGTGCTCATTTGGTAAACAATGATTTACCTTTTACTCATGTTTTTTATCACTCTTTAAACGACCTACGTAATCACTTCTATACTAAAATAATGATATTATTAATACAGACAGATGAAAATGCGAGAATGAAATAGGTAAAGGTTACATGGTAATTAGGAGTATTGAGTGAGTTCAAGCACCAGTGATATCGCAAGGTTTGTCCATCGGCTGATAGTAGACATTAACAGAATTGATGTTATTTTAAATTAATTATTATGTTCTCGGCTTACTCCTGTACCTAACTGTTTGACAAGGAACTCGACTAGTTTCAAGCCATACTAGAGGCTATTCATGAACAGCATTCCGTGGCGACTGTCCTTCACCGCATCGAGTAGCCGTTGGCAGCGCGATAGTCACTGCATTACGTTACAGTCTCTAGCATGGCTTGAAACTATATTTTTTTTTAAAACGTTGCCCCACACTAGGATTTTCTCCTGTGCCGTCCGTGGGTGCGTTTACAAACATACAAGTTCACATACACAAAGACACTCAGACCCGAAACAACAATTTGTGGATCACACAAAGTGTTGTCCCGTGCGGGAATCGAACCCGCGACACGTTCCACGGCAGCCGGTTGCCCAGCCACCGCACCAACCGTGCAGTCAGTTTAGTATTTCATAGTTCAGTATTTGTGTTCCTTGTCAAACAGTAACGTGAGTAAGGAGAAAACATAATAATTTATTTAGTATGTCTCAAGAAAGTTTTAATAGTATTAAAATAGGAGGTAAACATTCACAAAATTGAAGCCCATAGTCAGTTTTGACTTCACAATTTAGATTGGACATGACCATCAATTTAGTAAGCATAAAGTATAGTTAAAGTGATTAATGTTTTATCGCATGTTAGAAATAGGTGTTAAGAATGGATAAGAGGTAAGTCCATAGTCAGTTTTGGACATTACGCGGTGGGTTCGGTGTGGGTGTTGCCATGCATGACATTGGTCCATTCCGGTAAAGCCCCATGGTTGGCACCCGAGGTTTCAGCTGGAGTGGGTGATGTTGGAACATTTTATGCATATCTGCAATTTTTAAATATTTTATTATACATATACATATAACCTTCTTTGTAGTTTGTTCAGATAAGCAAGTGAATGGTTTCCAGTGATTTTTTATAATGTTTTGAGAGCTTCGGTTAGCCATTTACCATTTTTAAACGGTGTTTAGCTGTCTCGTTCATTGAGTGGTCGTATAAAGCATGAGTATGAGGTCTTAGGTACAACTCCAGGTTAGGTAGCTTGATACATTTTTTTCGGTTTTCGAATAACTCTCATAATTAGGTTATCCCCTTATAATGTTAAATAGTCATGTAGTACATACTTTGTTTCAATGCAGTAGGTCTTTCAGAGATGTGCCGTAACAAGCTTTACATACGTGAATTATAATGGACTAAAGTCCTATTAATGGGGCCTACCGTATTTTTGCTCACCAAATGGCTAGTGTAACGCTCTCGTTCGTTATACGATTGGGAATTAACTAGGTATTAACTAGTGACACGCCTTTACACGTTCTATGTTAGACAGTTTTTTTTACGGGGGGAAATCATCAAATGACTTTTCCCGTTTGGGAGAGACGGAAGGGCGTGCCAGACTCTTACTGAGTAAAAACAACCCGGTTCCTACCCGTGCACTTCGAGCTGGAGCCCCGGCAACCCGTTAAGTTATCCGCGGCTTCGAATCGGCATCAGCCCTATTGGGCCCCATCCGTGGTGGTCTGATGGCTCTTTGTGGCTGATTATGAATATGATGATAAATATTTGACAGCTATTGTGATTTGACAAAGAATCTCTTCTACTTGTGCCATCTGATGAGCAATAATACGGTATCCCATTCTATGAGTTACATTGGAACTCATATTCATGAGCAGTGTTTGTAGTGGCCAACTCTGTCACGTGGCTATCCAGAAGTGATTTGAATCTAGTAAAGATTTTCTCCAATAGTCCACCCGAGTAAGCCATACATTTAATTTAATTTAAAAGTCGTTTCGATAGTTATCATAAGAAATCTTATTCTATGGTGTTTATTTATAATATATTGCCTTTATTTAACCGTAGTATGGTGGCGGCGCTCCCGGGTAATAGGGCATTCCCGGAATGTAGTTATATCCAGGAATATAACCTGGATATCCGTAAGGATACCACGCTTCGATACTCTGGAAATAAAAGGTTTAAAATGAATAAGCTTGATGGTGATGCTAGCAACCCTTCTCTTTCTATGAGAGACGTAACTGAGACAGAAACGGGTAAAGTAACAGAGACTGGGCAACGCTCTCTGATATACCTGACCTTTTTTTATATACCTGAACTTGCTAAAACTGCAATGTTCAACCCGCCTGTCATGCCTGACAGTTAGTTGGAGTAACATAACAAAACATAACATCACGCCTTTTATCCCCGAAGAGGCAGAGGCGCACGTTACGTCACTTAATGCCACTACAATGTAACACCCACTTTTCACTATTTATGTTATGATTCCCATGTATAGGGGGTGAGCGTATTGCCATATACCGGGCACATGTCCAGGCTACGTGCTACTACTGAGATTTTTAAAAAACCAGCAATACTTTGCCCAACCCGGCAATCGAACCCGAAACCCTTTGCCCGGCAGTCGCACTTGCGACCACTCGGTCAACGAGGCAGTCAAGTAGTTGGAATAAAGTAAAGTAAAGTAATTAGAGAGGCTATGTTTGCAAGGCTAACCCGTTTCTTTTTGTGAAGCAATGGACTGTTTGATGTTGCTAATAATTAGGTAATAAACTAGGATATGGGATTCATAACTAAACTGGTGAAAGAGGATCACGTTTACCATGAATAATCCCAATAAATTCGACTTTTTTAAATAAATTCTCCAGTTACGCTTTGCAATCTTTTTACGCTTTATCTACTCAATCAATCATTTTGAAATAAAATTGGAAGTACTGATAAAAATATAGGCCAATTCATCCAATCGAAACCGTAGCCAACAGCCAATAATTAAGAAAAATAATCTTACCTCAATAAAAGCCATTAGAGCGACGAAGAGAATAAGAATTCTGAACAGCGCCTCCATTTTCCAAGATGTCTTCCCTTTTCAAAATTACAGTGTAACTACCACACCGCGCGATAAGGCCGTTGTTTATAAATACCAAAACCATTTACAATAATCATTGAAAACTAGTTAAATTTAACTAATACATGTAAGTTATTTCACGGTCTATAGAAAAACAAGTATAACAATCACTTAACGGTATTGTTTGATTAATCTTCGATTATTAAATGTTAGTTTTCGATTTGTAGTTCCCAGTTAAATAATAATAACATAAAGTAAGTTTTATTCTATGTAATATAATAATTGTTTTTATGTTTAGCGAGTTATGGTGGCCTAGAAGTGAAAGGTTACCAATTACCAATTCGGAAACGACTAAATTAAATATTTTTTGAAAAAGTTGTTTTAGTGTAATCATTTTCATTGTAGTTTGATTGACCACATCAGGTGCTTAACCTTTTGAATGCAATGATATGAGACACAATTGGAAATACATTATGTCTCGCGTGGATCCACGTCTTAGACACACAAAAGGTTAAATCTTCTTCTTTATCTGATTTCAACTCTTAGCCCAAGTTACAATAAATACCTATATTTTTCTATTCTCCCCTATATATATCATTATTATTCACAGACATAAATAAAACTCAATATAAATAACAACATTTTTTTATTTTCTAAAACAGAATAAATTACTTTAAATCTAACATTTAAAATTTTACAACAACGCCATCTACATTTTGAATCATTAATTAAACTACTAAAACAAATCATTCATTGAAAACAAGTCCTGATCAGCAAATACAGCATAAGGAGACTGGAAGTCCTGCCGCGGATTCAAAGAACCAAAAGAATACGAATCTGAATATGATTTTACAGGCGCCAAAGCTTCGTAAGGCGACATTAACGCTAAGCCATTTCTAGTAGGCTTATAACTCTTTGACAAACCCTGCTCAGGGTAATTTGAACCTCCGATAAAATTTGAGTTCGGTAAAGATGGTGCCGAACACGGGGGCGCATAAGGACTGTTTTCGCTTGCAGATTTTGCTAATAACGATTCTTTTGGAGGTGGCGAGTTTAAAATATTGCTAACTATTAATAATTGTAAGGCTACAGCCAAATTGTTAAGCAATTTAGCATCAACGCTTGATGGTTTTTCTGCTTTAATTTCTGATTTTGGAACAACCAAATTAGGTAGACCTATCGCGGAGAGCGAAGGCGGAGTGGAGACAGGTCTAGGTTGATTGGCCGTCGGTGGCAAGGATTGTTGTAATCTAGAAACCAGATTAGGAAGAGCTAAAGCTGCTAATGTTTGTGGTGAAGGTGGAGGTCTTGGTTGACTGGGTGGGCATGGCTGGTTGCTTGGGGCTGGTTGAGGAGCCGGTACAGTAATTGTGTGAGGTTGGGGTAAACCCATTAGCTGGAGATACTGCTGGACTGTTGGTTGAGGGTATGATGGTAGCACCTGGAATAATAAATAAAGGTTTTAATACATACATCGATTTATTATTAGCGAATAGTAAAGAAACACAAATAGATAAGTAAACACAAATATAATTTTAAGTGTGGCAGAGCCATACTTCGACATGAATGTGCCGGCTCGACCGGAGCGACGTGAAACAACGTTGTGTTGTGTTTCGTCGTGAGAGTGAGGTTACCGGAGGCCCAATTATCCCCCCCCCCTTTCCCCAATCCTTGAATCCCCAACGATCCTCAAACTCCTAATCCCCAAAAAGCCGGTAACGCACTTGTAACGCCTCTGGTGTTGCATGTGTTCATGGGCGACATCGATTGCTTACCATCAGATGATCCGTCTGCACGTTTACCGGCTTCGGATGAAAATTAGCGATCGTAACCAGTTGTGTGACATTACATTATACAGATTACTTGAAGAATTTAATTTCAAAAATTACTGTAACTCCTTTAGTTGATGAGAATGTCCATTTTTTTAAGGGGAATATTATCGAATCGCTGACGACACCGAGAGTCTACCATCGGATGTCTTTTGCAAAGTAAAAATCTAACATAACATCACGCCTTTTATCCCCGAAGGGGTAGGCAGAGGTGCACATTATGCCACTTTTCACTATTTATGTTATGAGTCCCGTGTAATAGGGGGTGAGCCTATTGCCATATACCGGGCACAATTCCAGACGCCTTGCTACCATTAAGATTTTTTGTTAAAACCCTGTTATTATTTTTCCGACCCGGGAATCGAACCCAAGAGCCCTTGCCCGACAGTCGCACTTGCGACCACTCGACCAATGAGCAGTAATAAAAATCCAATAAAAAAAATCAAATGAACATACCTTTAAAACAAAACACTGTATCAATAAAAAACAAATGAATACTCGCGCCATTTTGAAAACAGATTAAAGAGAAATAATTAAATGATTGCTAATTTATATCGATTTATAATTGACATGTTCGGTATCTGTTATCTGTGGTCCGTCAGAACGTGATGACAATCTCTTGATGATGTTCTAAAGATAATAGTTTGTGTGATTTATCTTTTTAAGAGCATGATAGGAAAGATTGAATGATATTGTAATATCTATTTTGGTTCTTAGAAAACCATTTCGATAATCGCAGAGACGTTTAAGACGCCCACTTCTCATGTCATACATGGTGGGGTGCGGCAAGTACCAATGTGACTTTTTCCGAGTTATATGTATGTACTTTCTAAGATTATTTAGACATCACTGACAAACGGTTGCATGGGACCTATTACCTTGACCTATTACATGGGACTCATAACATAAATAGTGAAAAGCGGATGTTACATTGTACAGTGGCATAACGTGCACCTCTGCCTACCCCTTCGGGAATAAAAGGCGTGATGATAAGTTATGTTGGATTTTTACTAGGCAAACAGCGTCTGATGGTAGGCTCTTTGTGCCGTCAGCCATTCGATGATATTCCCCTTAAAAAATTTACATTCTCGATACTTAAGGAATGTTATAAGTCCCATGTAATAGCGGGTGAGCCTATTGCCACATACCGGGCACAATTCCAGACTCCGTGCTACTACTAAGATTTTTTGAAAAAACCCAGTAATACTCAACCCAACACGGGACTCGCACTTGCGACCATTCGGCCAACGAGGTTGGTTCGGTCACTTTGTAAAACTTTTATCATAATTGTGTATGAACAGAATATATATTAAATATTGAATAATTAATCCACAATAACTTCCGATATAATTTCCGTAATAAATCGGTTTTAACAAAAACATTCATAATTTATTACGGTCTGCTATCCGGGTCGGAAGATATGAATTTATGATAAACTAGAATTATATTAAATGATTTATGTTTATTGAATTCATGGAATTAACTTCAGGGTTATAGGGCTCGTACACAAAACTGCGATGCGACGTCGCATCGCAAAAATGTGCGAATTGATTCGCATCGCGCATCAAAATCTTAACCTCCCAAAATCTTCTTTGTTTCTTTTTCCTGTATCTCCTAAGCAATAACAGAAGTGCACACGTCTTTTTACTATCCATATCAGGACCTAGTCTTCAATTTAAAATACGTTTAGTACGGTTGACGGTCGTCGAAGGAAAGGTCACTGGGAGACGCCTTGTCGCACGAAATCGCATCGCAGTAATTCGTATCGTAATTTTCTGCGTTGCGAATTCGCTTCGCATTGCATCACAGAAAGAAAGAAGAAAGAAAGAAAAACCATTTATTTTTGCGCAGAACACACATAACATAATTAAGAAATAAAAATAACACAAAAGCTAAAAAATGAAAAATGAAGAATGAAGTGTACGAGCCCTTATATCTGAAAGGTTGGACAGGGCATTGTGGATTAGATGGGCAATTATTGGGATCCTATTATCATTGCGTTTGGTAGATGGTTAATACTTTATTTGTAGATGGCTCGGCAAATTACCAAAAAGACCAGGATCACTTGAAGGTACCATACGTACCATACGCAACGCGATTAGAAGCAACAAATGCGTTGGCGACCTTTTTTGAGTTAGGGATTAGAGGATTGGAGTTTTGTGGTTTGTGACTGAGAGTGGCAGTACGGTTGGCGCGGTGGCTGGACAACTGGCTTCCACATAACGCGGGTTTGATTCCTGCACGGAACAACACTTACTCCTGTTGGACCGACCGATTCGTGCCGAAGCATGGCTCGACTCAATTCTGTGCCTCCTGTGATAAGTGATATAACTCGAGTTGTACCCTTTTTGTGATTTTCACATGAGCATTATCAAAAAAAAATAACGTGTTTTTTGGTCTAACTCACGTTCTTCTATCTGCTATAGTTTCGGAGATAATTTTGTGCAAAGTGATACAACTATAGGGATTTTGGCAAGAAAATCGTGACAATCGATATTTGTTAAGTTGTAACTCCAAAACCGGTCACTTAACAAACTATTTTTCGTGTTTCGTGATTTAAATGCTATTGTATTTAACTTCACAATTTATTTTTCAGTACATTTATCGTGAATTTTGATGTGACTACAGTAATATCCCTTTGGACTAATTCTTTCGATATGCCTCTAGGATACAAATCGACATGTACCTACAAATCTGAATGTAAGGTATGCCATTTTTTTTGTAAAAAGTGATACAACTTGACTTAAATCATTCTACACAAATCTGTCTTTATGTGTAAACAGATATAAATATAGTTGTATCTAAATATCCAACCAATTGTAAAAATATACAATATAAAATATTAAATGTGCTAAGTGATACAAGTGTAGGTGGCAGGGGTTCGCGGGGGTAATCGGGGTAATTTTTTTCAGCTAAAATTCGAATTGATAAAATAATGAAATGGGCTACACTAAATCAGATATTGATGAAAAAGATACCCAGGAAAATGGCCACGAATCAAGATAACGAATCAATAGAGACGCAAGAAGGAAAAGAACTAGTTGAAGTTGAATTGCGGAACCGGAAGGAAAAGAACTAGTTGAAGTTGAATTGCGGAACCCTACAATTGTTGCGACAACAGTTTTCAATAATAATATAATAAGATGAACAAGACTCAAGAACATTCTTCAAAAAATCTACTCGACGATTTGAGAATTTCAGAATCATCTGATGATGGTGATTTTGGAAGAGGGCCATTCGATCAATTTATAATCCTATTTATTTATTTTTTATTTATACTTTATTGTAAACATTTAAGTAGCTTAAAAACAAACAATTCAAAAGCTAATCTTAGTCCGAGGTACTCTCTCATGGAACTATTTAAAGAAATTGATAATAATGACTGTTGCCTCTCAATACATTTGTAAAAATGTAGTACATGCGCAAAAGTTTATTTAAAAAACATAGTGATATACATAATTTCAACACGAGGAATAAAGACAAATATGTTGTTCCCACTACTAGACTAAAGAAAATAAATGGTTCGTTTAGATGTCAGAGTATACGCTTTTACAATAAAATTCCCAGCCATATCCAAAATTTGAGTCTAAATAAATTTAAAAATGTCATTAAAGATAATAAATAATTTTATAGTAAAGCTTTTTATAAAATAAAAGACTACCTAGACGATAGTTGGGCTTGAGAATAAGCTGCTGTAACGTCCACACAGGTCATGTCGACATGTTTGTAACATATAGTTACATTTCTTTTTTATATGCAATTTGACATTATTGTTTTAATGTGACATTGTTTTTCATTTGAATTTTTTTATATGTTGTTCTAACTTGACATTTATTTTTCAATTGTTAGTGCTAGGACCGGGCGAGACTTTGCGTCGCCATTTCTTTTCTAATTACCCATATTCTGACAGTTTGAGTATTTGTACGACCCACGCAAATGTTCTTTAGGTTGGTATTGGTCGTCGAATCAGTCAGCCTCACCTGTTAATTGAGCTGGCTGTAAAGCGGCACATGCGTACTGCCTTCAGAACGGGACCCGCTCAAACTTTTGTGGTTCTTTCTTCAAAAGGCCACTACAGAAAGAACTTGCACGGTTCTCACACATAATCTGTTATACATATTGTCTGGACTTTAAAAAAGGCGGGCCTCTGAGTTTGTTTCGGCATTTCTTCTCAGAGTAGTCAGTTAGGAAATGTCGACCTCATCGTTCGCTTGATATAATTGACGTGTAAAAGTGCTGTCTTGTAGCCTATTTGCAGAAATAAATTCATTTGTTTCACTGTTTCACTTGTTTCACTTATTTCCTTGGATCTTTTAGAAGTGATGAATATATTTGCAATACTGATGAATTGCGTTCATCCACTGATGATGAAAGAGTACCGGCAAAAAAAGAACTGCTACGTCGTCATTGATGAGATACACCTCCAATATTACGATTCCATAAACACCACCGTCACCCATGAACACATCAGAGAATTCCGTTCCTGGTTGCTCTTTCTGGGATCACAAAGGATTTAGAGTGCCGGAAAAAAGAAAAACACAAGAAAAAGTGACAAAGAGATAAGACAGAATAGAGAAAAGAGAAAACTATTTCGTAATACTGGCTTAGAGTATACAACTTCATCAGGGAAAACAAAGGAACATCGGCAACTTCGTGAACTCCAAAACTATTTTTATTATTAATCAATTAACCCACAGTTTAATTAATTATTTTTACTACTTCGTATAACACTGAGTAGGTAAATTGCTTACTGTGATAGCTTATTAATACTGATCTGTGTCATTACTTAGTTTTACTTGGTTTTAAACTTATGTCTTTATGATAGTTATGTTTCTTTTAACAATAGTTACATTCGTATAGTCATATTGTGATGTATAGATCTCCATTTAGTTTTATAAGAATTTTGATAAAAATGCATAATGGCCGTATTTTTAGGTTAATAAACGTTGATTTTTTATTTTTCTAAAACTTGTATTCATTTACACATAATACTATCTTTTTTTTGAGTCGTACATCTTGACTTACATCATTTAGCATATCTTCTGAAAGACAAGGATTTTAGTAAATTGATATAGTTCAGCTAAATTATGTAAATAGGTGACTGATAAGTAAAAAAAATGAATCTTAAGGGTTAAATTTTCAACTTTTGTTTTAGCACATTTCGCTAGAATCATTATTTTAATGTGTTATTAGACATTTTAACTTCATGTATATCAGTTTACACTAAGACAATTTTTTGGTGCAAGCTTGGTGCAACGTAATTTAACTGTACAAGTATCATTAAAAACTTAATTTTAGCACATAAAAAACTAAGTAAAAGTTACAAGTCGCAGGTTTTTCATGAATAACTTCCAAAATTAAACATGTATCAAAAAATCTAAATTATATAAAGAAAGAGAATGTTTTGATCTATAAATGAGTGCACTAATATTTAACCTAGGCCACTTAATTAACGAACTAGATTTTTTTAAATCTTATTTTTGCTGTCCTGTAAAATGACGTTTTTTGACTTGTATCACTTATCACAGGAGGCACAGAATTAAACCTGAACCGATTGAACTGATAACAATATAACATAACATATTAACAATACGCCTTTTTATCCCAAAAGGGGTAGGCAGAGGTGCACATTGTCGCGGAGAACCTAACACTCCCCCTCGCCTAACCCAAGGAGAAGTCATTCGATGATTTTCCCCCATTAAAAAAAAGGTGCACATTACGACACTAAATGCCACTATATAATGTAACACCCACTTTTCACTATTTATGTTATGCGTCCCATATAATAGGGGGTGAGCCTGTAGCCATATACCGGGCACATCTCCAGACTCCGTGCAACTACTGAGATTTTTTAAAAACCCACTAAAACTTTACCAGATCCGGAAATCGAACTCGAGACCCCTTGACTACAGTCGCACTTGCGACCACACGGCCAATGAGGCAGTCAGGCAAATGATAACAATTTACAAAATAATTTATTACTACAAAAAATATAGGTAGGTATCTAACACTTACCTAATAACATTAATTCTACGTAAAACAATATCAGTTGAGTACGTAACAATTTCGGTGTCAATGTGTTAATATTACATTGATTAGTTAATATAAGTAAATTATTCCGGTATATATAAAAGAAATTTATTTTTATTTATAAGAGATATCAAAATGGCCTCCAGGCTACTATTCGTTTGCGCAGTTTTAGTTTGTACGGTAAGATTTTGCATATATTTTTTTATGAACCACTAACGTGACAAACTGTATGTTGATAACAGAATAGAATTCATTTATCAATCACCACCGCTACTCTTAAGGGACTACATATTTGACAGAGACCGTGCAGCAGCGCTCTCTGATAAACCTGACCTTTTATACTGAGTTCTTTAATCCAAGGCCTAGCGTGAAAATTATGTCCAACCCTCTTATGAAGATCATAATCTATATCTATACTATGTCGCGGAGAACCTAACGGTTTACCGGGGCTCCGGCTCGACGTGTAAGAGAAGGAACGGGGTGGTTTTTAGTCAGTAAGAGTCTGACACTCCCTCCCGCCTCACCCAGGCGGGAAGGAGTCATTCGATGATTTTCCCCCCTTCAAAAAAAATATCTATACTATATCCTTATATTCCTCATAGTCTATATCAGTGATTCAATATTAGCATGTTAATGAACAATGATTTTAATAGATATATTTTCCTTCTTTCAGACGTCAGCTCAATTTCTGCCGTCACGGATTCAGCCACCACTATGTAATCAACTACCAAAGATCTGCAACTCACCTCCGAAGATCTGCGACTCACCGCCACGGATCTGTGATCCACCAAGATTGATAAACCAACCACCGCTGACATGTGACTCACCACCCCGAATTCTGAACCCAGCTACCCAGATTTGTGATCCACCTACAAGACTATTTAACCCACCTTCACTTTGCGATCAACCTCCACGTCTGTTTAATCCACCACAATTAAGTGAGTCACTGCCTCGAATCTGCGACTCACCGCCTCTTATTTACAACCCGCCTCAAATATGCGATTTGCCACCAAGGATCTGTGACCAACAACCACGAATCTTGAACCAACTTCCCCAAGTCTGTGATTCACCACCTCGTCTAATTAATCCACCGCAGATCTTAAATCCGCTACCATGTGACCCACCACTACAGATCTGCAACTCACCACCCAAAATCTGCAACTCGGAAACCCAAGTAATAGTCGACAATTCTCTTTCTACTGCCCTCGCGAATGCCTTGCAAATGTTACTTATGAATAACCTTATTGAGAAATCAATGAA